TCGTGACGGCAGAGTCTGGGAAAATGATGGGGCTGAAGGAGGCAAGCGGATGTAGCTGTTTAACTCGGAGCGCACAGTTAGATCAACAGTGTGTTTAGCGCCAAGCTTGGTTGATTTAGTATTATCTTTTTTTTTTTTTTTAACGTTTTATTTATTTTTGAGACAGAGAGAGACAGAGCATGAACGGGGGAGGGGCAGAGAGAGAGGGAGACACAGAATCGGAAGCAGGCTGCAGGCTCTGAGCCATCAGCCCAGAGCCCAACGCGGGGCTCGAACTCACGGACCGCGAGATCGTGACCTGAGCTGAAGTCGGACGCTTAACCGACTGAGCCACCCAGGCGCCCCAAGCTTGGTTGATTTAGAAGAAAGAGCACAGGCTTGGAAGATAGACAAACCATATTTTGAATCTGATTTCCATCTTCTATTTCATATCAACTTCTCAGAGCCTCAGCTTCGTCACCTATAAAATAGGCACAAAGCTGATTTCCTCTTAGATTTGTTGTGAAGATAAACCCGTGGGACGCATGTAAGTTACCCCCTGGTAATACAGCGGACGTTCAGTGTTCCTTTCCCTCTGGTCAGTTTTCCGGTTTGTTGCTGTCAGTTGGCATAGACCAGGGTTTCACAGGCTTTGTCTCTAGTGAGACTGATAATAAATATTTTAGGTTTTGTGTGCCAGGAGGCAAAATTGAGGATAGTATGTACACAATTATGTAACAAAGAGAAAACAAATTTCCACCAGTTTATTGATGAAATTCAAAATACAGTAATATTGGGGTAAAGTTTTTAGTATAGATCTACCAGTGAGAGGAAACAGATTCTTTTTCTGGGGAGACAACATTTCACTTAATTGGGGTTCAAAATTTGTGTTCCCTATCATCAAATTGATCGCCAATGTCTATCTATACAAATAGTGGGACGCCAATGGTTATTCCTAATTTGCAAGCCATAAAAAAACAGGTAGCAAGCTGAATTTGGTCCACAGGCCTTAGGTTGCCAATCCCTGGTGTAGACCACTTATTAATAATGCCAGTCTCTGCTTGTGCTCTGACCCAATCATTCACGATGAGGACATGATTTGAAACCATAACTATACGTAAATAGCTATTAGAAGGCTATAATCTGGAAAGGAAGATGGAATGATTCAGTCTTTAAATAAACAGACTTTTGGAAGCTGACAGAATACTGAGTCTTTTGGATTACCTGATTCCTCAAAGTAGACCACCTCTTGCGGCTGGAATCTGGACAAGAATAGGAAGAAATAATCAGGCCACACGAACTGACCACCTACACAGAGATCAAGCAGTGAATGATCATGGGAACAGTTACTCAAACAGGTTCTTTTTGCTTTCCATCAAATAAGAGCTGGGCATACCTGCTTTTAGTGAGGGTGTCGCTAAAGGAGGGATTAAAATTTGCAACTAAGGTACCAGAGGGTCCCTTGTTGCTACTCTTTCACCGACTGAGATGGCCAGTTAGTGCACAGATGTGAGTCCACAGCAGATAGAGGCGGATAAGCAGACAGTGCTTTACAGGCCCTGCCATATTGAGTTTGCAACAAGGGATCCTACTCCACCTGCCAGGGAGGCTTCTAGTAGCATAAATGACATGCCTTAAAGTAATTTTTGGTGTATGATGATGAGCATGCGTTGACATAAATTCAAGTAAGATAGGTTACTAAGTGTGAGGCAATTCTAAAGCAAAAAGTAATTCAAGATTCCACCTGGAATCCTGGCATCCACAACGAGGAGGCATCGCAGGCACGTCACACTGTGGTGTAGTTGCTCTGGACCTCAGAGCAGTACCCGCATGGCGGGGATACAAGTCTGGGCAAACCGCAAAGGTGTGGAGGGGGTTCCTGGGCTCGGGGCTTTGATAAGGCTGCTACGCCATTTCAGCAGATTTTACGGAGAAGCACAAGTGAGTAATTCTCAAGTGGGAAGAGGGAATCTAGATTTTGATGGGTGTGTTTTTAAAATCCCAGTTTGTATTTTCAGGGCGTTGATCATTTGGCAAGAGATTCACTTGAAGAGAGCAATGGGAGACACCCGGAGACACAAATAAGCACCCCGACCTTATCAGATTCAGATTCACCTGGTGAAATTACCCATAAGTGCTCTGATGGAAACAGGAACAAAAGAATATTCTGGGGCATATTCTTCACACAAAGGGAACACATTTTGGTGGAGAGCTAATATACAGTGGAAGTCATCCAATGGAATGGAAGGGTCCAAGGTGAGAATTAAGGTGAACCAACTTGACAAAACACCTCTGATAACGCAATTGCCAACAGAGGAATGTATGTGTTTCTGAATGCGAGAGATAGATGTCGATGAGGGTTGATACACATAGAGCCACAAGGATCCAAGGTCTATTAGAAAGGATCCAAGGTGTGGAGCTAGCCCTTTACTATTTGTGTGTGAGAAAAGCACATAATTTGAAATTTGCCAAAAGCTTGTGGGTATTACCAGGGACTGCCCATGCCGATGGTGATAAAGCTTTTTAGGGAAATAATTTTAAAATTTAAGGTAGTTGAGTTGAAAAAGTGCTTCCAACTTCTTGTAATTAACTTCTTCTTGGAAAAATAGCTGTTTCTGAGGCAGAAATATTTTTAAATGTGTTGCTTTTAGCTGAGTGGTGATTTTCAGCCAAAGAGTATTCATTCCGCAAATGAGGTTTAGTGATGAGTTTAAAGAATATTTCTTCTCTGAGCTGTGCATATACATCTTTTCTCCATTTGTGTATCAGGAGAACATAGAGTAAATGCATTTTCTCTTGGCTTACGGAAGAAATTGGGGGTAAACTACACAATTTTCTTACGGAGAAATGTCAAAAAGAAAAACTAAAGTATACTTCCAAGCAAAATTTATTAGATGTCTATTCAAGAAAAACACAATGACCTTCGCTTATAAGAATTCAAAGTCAATAAGCTGAAAGCCAGGTATGAATATTTTTCCTTTTAAAATCAGATACAGAGAGTAGAAACAGTAATTTTTCTTAAATATGACAGGCAACAGATATTGAAATCTTTTCTCATAAATGGCATCAAAGATAAATATTCATTTATCAGCAAAGCTGCATGCAGTTGACTCAATTTCAAACCCAAAGCCTTTAAAATATAAAGCTGCTTGTGAATTTGACAGTAATCAAGGTAGTCTACTCAAAGATGTTTCTTTACCTTCTTTCTAATGAGATTCCTCTGTAATCAGTATTTATGTACATTTCAGTTTGGCTGCTCAGATCTTGTAAGTTCATAAACTTTTGCATAAATGCTATCTTACAGAATCGCGCAATCAAGGCGTGCTTGTGATCTGTGGGATATGTAAAGGATAATCTGTTGAAAGTGTTTTAGCTTAGTTTAAAGTGAAGGATAAAGACCAAATTAGGAAATTCCCATTTTCTCAACAACTAAATAGTCTGTACAAAAGAGCAAACATATGTACAAAATGCTAGGGTCTACGTACATTGTGAAAAGATCAATCACTGTCCACAGAAGAAACGCCATAAAAAGTTTTATCTATAAGGTGCTCAAGATCCAAATATGAATAGTTCTTATGCAAAGTCATAAGAAATACAAAGCTAGTTCTCAAGGTATGTGTAATTCAGGCACTGTTGACCACATTAAATCTTTCAGGTCCCAAAACCATTTTGTAAATGTCTACTTCAGGGCAGAAAATATAACCCGAATGATTTAACATTGCCTCTAAAAAGTGCCTAATGTATTCCGAGGAAATATTTTTACACACACCAGGAAAATCAGGCTCAACATATTCCTGTCCTCAAATGTAGCCAGGATTCTGAGTTCCATAGAAGAAAAATAATTATCATAGTAAAAATAATTGTATTGATCATAATCCTTGCTAAAACCAGCCTTCATACTTGTGATGCTTCTGAAGTACTCTATTTCTATAAAATAATGTGTGGGATTCCTTTACATTTCCATAAAATGTACAACATACCATATGGATTGTCTGTTTTCACACAATCTCAAATGTATATGTGTGCACACAGTGAAATCTTACCTATGAATATTGCTTACAGATACTTTCAAGTGTCTACGTTAGGATAATTCTTTGCACCTCTCACTAACACTGTTTTTATTAAAATTTTATCAGATAAATAAAACACTAAGAGCTCATTGTTCATGATGCTGATTATTACATTTTAATATAAAATAGCAATGCAACTTTACAACACAGTAGGTTTTTTTTTGTTTTTGTTTTTGTTTTTTTTTGTAGTCTAGTTAAACCTCTTATAGTCTCATGATTATTACCAAAGGCTCTTAATCACTTACGGTTTGCACTTCTAAAAAGTACAGAAGAGACTGCAGGAAAAGGCTCCTATTTGAAAACTCACATTCAATCAACAAAATCACACTCATTCGGATTAACTTTCCTACTCTTGCTTTAGATTTTTGTAATCACTGTGCGTATTACAATATATAAGTGCAGGCAAACGATAGCCGAAGTACAGTTTTCATGTCGTGTAAACCAGGACACTAGGCAAACTCGTGAAAGGAAAATACACTGCCAAGCTAAGGATGCGAAAATGCAAACCACAGCATTTAGTAAAACACAATCTCTGGCTGCCTGAGGGGAGAATATCTTTCGAAGTGAACTAGAGAGTCTCCTTGAGACATTTCCTTTTTTTTTTTTTTTTTTTTTTTTTTTTTTTTTTTTTTTTTTTTTTGCCTCAAATACGTAACCCTTTCTAACTACAATGATTTTCTTTCTGATCTCACGTATCGACTTCTCAAAGTTTAGAGCAGACATCAGGGATATGCACTTTCATGCGGAAGCGAGTCCGCTAGCCTCCCCAGGGCGGGGCAGCAGGAAGTTCCTTTGCTGGTGGTCTGGTGGCAGATAGAGATGGTGACAGTGGATGACTTCTACTGGAAACTGGAAGGCAGGACAGCGGGAGGAGGAGGCCTAAGGGTATCTTTCAGGCAAGGTTATACAGATGCGGTGCTGAAATGCAGCGTAAAAAGGAGGGAGAGTGATTCACAGCCTCTTGACATAGTTTCCGGGAAAAGTACCAAAGAATTTGGTTCTTCTCGAGGTTCCTGAAAATAGAAGCAGCAAACGAAACGGGACAGCAATGAAATAATCGGTTTTTCTTTGCGGTCTTGAAAGCTCTTCATTTACAAGCCTTCACTAAGAGAGCAAGCCCAGCAGGGTTTGGGAAAGAGAGCAAACTCACTTGGAGGCATAGCCGACAAAGTGAGCGGTTTTATTTGTACTGCCTGCCGCCTTCACTGCCTCCGAAGGTTCGGCGCTGCGCTCCCAGCCCACACCAGACTAAAGGGAAAAAAAAGCTCAGCCTCCCTGCCTGAAGGGAAAGACAATCCTGCTGAAGGGGGGGGTTTTAAGTGTAATGATATTACACTTAACAGTATAACGATGCTCCATCACCAAGGCTGCTAGGCAAGAGTGAGGAAAGGAAAAAGCACTGGAGGAAGTGACGTTTTCAAGGACAATCTAAATAAAGACAAGGCTGGCAGTGTGATGGGATGGACTAGAAAAGTGCGACACGGTGTAACAATGGCCTATCAGGGACTATCCAGTTTTGTGATGTCATAGAAGATCACGCTGAATGCCGCCTCATTCATTTACAAATAGCACTGCCAGAGTCCTTGATAAAACATAAAAATTTACAGTCACTAAAGAAAAAAAAAAGGCCAAGAACTATTTGTAGACGGGTTCATCATCAGGTACGACTGGCCATCATCATGATTGCCTTCGGTTTCAAATGACAGAATTCCTTTGAAACTGTTAATAAAGGTTGGTGTGCTGAATTCTTCCGTAGGATTTCTAGCGCAAATGGAGTGAAGAGAGGCTCTACGGTTTCATTTACATTCTGGAACTTCTTGTCTTGGTTTGATTTTCTTTTCACCTGTGTGGGTTAGCCATTTACTTTTGTTCTAAATGGGGGGATTAATATGAACAGAAGCAGAGGCTGGTGTCTGCTCGGTTCTTTGATTATTTTCCTCACTGATTACCTGTCTATAGAAAGCCCTGGTTCCCTCATCTTGTCTCCTCTCTCCCCTGTGCCTTTCTTTCTTTCCTTCCTTCCTTCCTTCCTTCCTTCCTTTCTTTCTTTCTTTCTTTCTCTCTTTCTTTCTTTCTTTCTTTCTTTCTTTCTTTCTTTTTCTTACCTCTTTCCTGTGTGTCCCATTGTATGATTCTCTTATCTACAAAAGTTTTCTCAGAAAAGCTCTAGTCTTCTTTTAAGATGGTAAGAACGTGATTGCCTTTTAAGTGGTAAGAATGGAACCTCTCTCAACTTTTACCAAAAATCAACATAAAGGTGGATCATTGAACTTTCAGGGCACTTAACATCAGACCTAGTAAGTAGATGAACTGCTCGCTGCGTCTTGTTTTTTTCCAATTAGATCCTCACTGCGGACACCTAACCGCCCACCCGACAGAGTGATACTGTTTCTCGTTTAGGAAACACCGTTGTTATGGTTCTTAGACCTCAGTCTTTCCTGGTTGGTGCTATTCGAAGACATTTGCTTCTCTCAGTGGAAGTGGAACTAAAACTAGCAGAAAAATCACGTATGGCCAAAGCAGTAGATACTAAGCCATATTAAAAATGCAGGGCAATGTGTGAAAGATCCGAGGCATCGCAAGTGCCTTTGTCTATCGCAAGTGAGCAAACACGAGCAAGTTCTAAGGCGGCCAAAGGGGTGTGGAAGGAGGGTGTGGAAGGAAGTGTACACATACCCACAAACCATCCATCGTCACACTTCTCCATCACATCAATGACATCGCTTTCTCTGAGTTCCAGCTCATCTTCATTCCTAGGAGTATAGTTATACAGAGCCTGAAACCTTAAACAGGACAAATGGATGCGTTTAAAAACAAATCTTTACACCTTTGTGAAACTATAGAAAATTATACAATAGTCATTTTACTGTCAACGTTTCTATTCTTATTAACATGTGAAATTAGTATAAATCTTTGGTAAGCGTGAAAAGTAAATAGAAATATTTAGATTTTCATGGGACTTAGACCACTTTGATAGCATTTCAAAACTACAGTGAGGAGTATTTGTGGAAGGTTAGAGTATCCACAAGTTGGATTAAAACATTTTGACATTTCTAAATCAGGCCTGGATTCCAATTGTCCACTCATAGATATCATGAAGACATTAAATAAGAGTATAGACTATAAAAGAAGTGATATGTGCATTATCCAGCAATGTAAAAATGAGAAAGGGTTACAGGTTTAGCTGACTATAATCAAAAGCAAATAATTGGGACTTCCAAGTTGAATTTTCAAGTGATTCTAAACTGAGATGTGCAAACTGTGTTAGTCATGTCTTCTAAATCGCTATGTGGGGATTACTGTAAAAGAAAAGGTTATTTTTTCCGCCAACAGGAATTCTTTACAGCCACTTAGTTTTATAGTTGGAATCAGTGTTCTATGAGGATTTAGAATTTGAAAATCTGATGTAATTCACCTCTGAAGTCAAGCAGGTGTATTCTATGCTCACTGATTACTGAGCCAATATCAAACAATAGATTATGGGTATAAGTTTCGTTTTAAAATAGGTCCTGGAGAAATTGTGTTTGATGTTGGAACTCTCCCTTGAAATAATTTTATGTAAAAAAGAATTACTGACAGAATGCTACCAGTCTCCTTTTTCTGCCTGAATTCTTTGAACGCCTTTATTTGGGTGACATTGATCAGTAAAATTGAATTTGTGGTTAACAAAATAGTATGTATTTTACTGCATATTAACATGGATTGGCATTTCGGAAAGTGAAGACACAAGTCCTAGCCGCTGAGCAGTTCAAGAAGCAATTGATATGCAATTAACATGAAAACTTTCTATCACTATTAAAATATTACCAATAGAATGAGGGGGATTTTAAAAACTCAGTGAACTTTTGTTTTTGCTGCTTCTTATAACAGCTGTGTAATTCTGCCAATGCAAGAAAATAAAAACCACATTTCAGGGCACTTTGGATTTTTAAGGTCAACTTTAGAAAGCAGATAATATTGAATACTGCTGGAACAAGAATGATTTACATCTAATTACTTCATTCAGTCAGAAAATCACATTTTGGTGGAACAAAACTATTCTACCATTTGAACGCAAACAGCATGTCATAAATCAGGGGCATGGCTCCGTTGGCTTTCCTCTCTGTCCGTGAACTTTTTCAGATTGGGGGACCCAGATAAAGTTGGCTTGTGGTGGGGGTTAGCGATGGTGGTGGTTGTCTGGGAAAGAGCTGGTGAGATGTGATGCCTAACATCATCTCCTAGAATACATTATTTTCTCTGGCTGGTACCAAAGCCTGAAATCACAACATTAGAGCTGTCTTTCCCTGTTAATATTTTATCCTGCTAGGGAATCTTTTCTGCCACTTGTACTCTTTTGAAACTGGGCATCTGATGTCTTCTGTTGAAAAAGGATTCTGATTAAGGAGAAGGACAGAGAAAGGTAGCCAGAATCCCAGAGCAGTGGTAAAAAAGACAGGGAGGTGTTGAAAACCAACATTGCTTAATTTCGATATTTCCACAGGGCCAGCCCTGATTAGAGGAGACCTATTATTTTGTTGTTTGCTTTAAGGATTTGATTTGGAGGCTGCTCTGGTGAAGGGACGCTATCTTTTCTAAATTCATATGGGGAAAGTTGATTTCAACCTGGTCCCTTTGCCAGTGTCACATTTGAGGGAGAAAGTCGTTCCTGGGCTGCTGATTCTATGGATATACATTGAAGCTTTCCCTTTGGGAAACACTGATTCTCTGATTGAGCTTTTGAGGCTTCAGCCTTCTTCCCTCGGGCACTTGTCCAAACTCTTATGGAGACAGGCCCATTTAAGGCCACCAAACCCCAGCTGCTTGAAGAATCTCAAGGTCCCAAGGGCTAAAAAAAACCAAAATTGGCACAAACTCCTACTTCACTTTGGTATGACAAAAGCCAGTATGCTTCTCAACATTTACTTACCATTCGGGTTTAATTAGACCACACACACATAAAAAAAAAAAAAAAAAAAAAAAAAAAAAAAAAAAAGGAAAAGGAAAAAAATTGGGAGTTTCATGGAAAACATAAACAAACCTTCCGGAAACCCCTCTGCCTCTGCTGGCTTTCAAAACCAGTGTTGCACGACAGGAAATGCAGCCGAATTACAATTAAAATGCTATTTTGAAAGATGTGTCGGTGAGATGAATGATGGTGGTGAGGTCAGGATGCTTCAAAAAGAAATTTGTCTTTTAAATAAAAAATGCTCAGCCAAGTTTGAAGCTGTCTCTATAACTTGCAATGTCTCCTGTAACACATTTTATTATAGTTCTGAATTGCGGCAACATTATAACCTTAGGTACCTGTTTTCATTCCAATCTATTTTTTAAATGAAAGAAATTAAGTGACACCCCATCATCCCACTCCTTGGGGTTGTAATCAAATAGAAATTTAGTAATGTTTAGTAGATGTTTCTAAAGTCCACAGCAGGACCTTGAAAAAGTGCTCTGTGGTTTCCATAAATACCCAAATGACCACACTTGGAAGTATTAACTTTCTATGACATAAAACAGTATAACATAATATACCTATTAATGCGTAATCTCCTTAACAGCTGCTTAATACGATGTGCTGGTAACACAACAGACCTAAACAGGCCTGGAATTTATTTTTTGTGTTGTGTTCCTATCATTTGCTTAAATAAGGCAACAAACCAAAACTTTAGAATTACAGGTCATACTTGATTTTTAAAATTTTTTTTCAGTTAAATGGAACTCGGAATGATTCTTACTTCCAGCGTGTTCTTTTCATAATCTTTCCCTAACAAGAAAAGCTTTCTGGCTGGACTCGGTGACAGGCAGTCTCAGGTGAGAGATGGTTTCTGAAGAGCATGCTTTCAGCTCGCTGCCAGGTCCCTGAGAAGTGAGGAGGGAGCCAGAGGTCAGGAAGGTTCCAGGCCACTTGCTCTACCCCAGGGGGGCAGGGCGTGCGCCGTGGGCTGGAGGCCCTGCTTGTGCTCAGGGGTACCTCACAAGGTTTAGTTCCGTTTGTGCTCCCATCCGTGCTCCTTCCCAGGGGTCTAGCTCCTGACTTACAGGCTAGGCAGTAGCCAGTGGGAAGTAGGTCGCCGCTGAACATCTATTATGGGCAAAATGGAGCAGAAATGGATACACACGCCAAAGAGCATCTTAAAGACAATGTGTGACACCTTCGATTTGAGGTGACTTGTGGGTCAGAGAGGAGAGGGAATTTGTAAGCGGGAAAAGGCATTTAACTGAATGACAGTGACTGTTTTAATACGCTGCCATTCCCGAAGACCTTTGTCAAAAGGTAACCTTGGAATTTTGTTACTGACTTATCACTTCTGGTGTACTTTGACATTCTTCTGGTCTTCAGATATGTGTACAACCACTGTTAGGACACTTCTGTGTCTTTACAGCCGTGGTTACTGGAATTTGCATGGTTGGTGGAACAAAGAGGGAGGCAGATTGGTAAATCTTAGGCATCACTGGAGCCCCGTTAGGTTTTTCTGGTGTGTAAATCAAAGGCTGCTATGCAAAATGATTGGGTTTCTTTTTAAAATGAACTTCTGCTCTACGTTATGAAAGAGACTGATCACAGAGGCCTCATTTTAGTTACTTTGTCCTCTTTCACTTGCAAAGTCCTCTGTTTTGGTACACCAGTTGTCTGTTTTGTGAGTCAAGGTTAGTCTTGAACTTAGAAGATAAGAAGAATACTTACGGTTCCCCCCCACCTTGAATGTTTTCATGAGTAAACACAGGACGCTGTGGCTGAAATGAAATGATTTTCAATGTAATCAGCGTTTAAACTGGTACTAAGTAAAAGATAATTTGGATAATGGCATGGTACTTTTCTTGACATTTAATATTTCCTGTTGTAAAAAACCAAGAGGAAGGAAAAAAAACCAAATAAAGGGTTTCTGCAGGATTAATAATCCAAATATTTTGAAGGGTGCTTTGAATTAAATGAAAATAACCAAGGTTCAAATATTTGAAATGTATCTAGAATCTAGTCTGTTCAAGCTTTAAGGAAAAGTCAGGGTTTAGTCCCATTGATTTTTCAAAGGCCAGGAATATGGCAAGAACATAGACACCAAATCACTAGAATGGGAAATCTGGACACCTTCATACAACCTTATTCTTCAGCGTTTTCTCAAACAAGCGGAAAATAAACCACATTTAGTCTAACGGCAAAGTACCCACATTCATTCTACTTTTCCTTCACAGACAACATTTTCACATACAGTACGGATGAAAATGTAGATAGGCAGACATCCCATGCTACATTTGAATTAACACTCTCTGTTCTCAATGTTGAGAGAACACATGCATTTTTAGAAAGAGAAAACAGAGAACTTTAACTAGAGGGTAACAAACAATATCCAGGTAACATGTAACATTTTACCTTAGAAGAGAAATATTGGTAGAAATTCCCAGTGCACTGAACTCTCAAAAGAGTTTCCTTTCTTTTTAAACTAAGCATCAAGACCAGTATCTGTAATAGATACTTATAATATTGGAAATGACAAACCTTAGCATCCCACATATCCACACAAATATTGCAACGAATAAAGTTAACATGTTTGTCGAATATGTAAACTCAACGTCGTTTCTACCGACTACCTAAATGTTACCATTTCAGGGAAAGAAAAATATTACAATTCATTCACAACACAGTTCAAAGACATCCTCTTCTAAATGATGGCTGCGTGCTAAAATGCGATAAGTAGGCGTTTGCATGACACTTATAAAAGTGACTTCTTGATGACCACTGAGTTAGATGGATCCATGTCCTTAGACATCAGGGCCAATTCGTGGGTCCCTGCATTATGAGTGGATTACTGACAGGCTGGGAATTTTACCCTGCAAATTGTCCATAAAAATCCCACTGGTCCAAGAATGGATGGAGAACTCTGGGGTTCCTTTCAGTCTATGAGTCTATAATTTCCTCCCCTTCCTCAATTCTGTATTCACTCCCCTCCCATCCAAGCTGTCTTTCTAGCATAAGAAGGTGAGGCACTTAGAGCACCTGGGTGACTCAGTCGGTTGAGCGTCTGACTTCGGCTCAGGTCATGATCTCACAGGTTCATGAGTTCGAGCCCCACATCGGGCTTACTGCTGGCAGCTGTCAACACAGAGCCCGCTTCATATCCTCTGTCCCTCTCTCTTTGCCCCTTCCCC